CATTCTATATCTGCTTGATATGAGTAATTGATCAATGAACTGTTATTATGAAAGTGCTATCACATGCCATCTTGGAAATATTGTTCATTGTTATTAATTAATAACAATGATAGATCTAATTGTGGAATGTTTCGCTGACATATCAAATGAAAAGTCTTCTTTTGCTATTGAATAATTGGCGGTTCGTATTACATATGGTAAGAATAAGGATATTTAATTCAGAACGTGAGTCGTTGAATCTCTATTATGAATAGTATGTGCACTACAATTGCATAAAATAATAATAAACTAGCTGTAAGTGGAATTCTGTCTTAAGGCAATTAAGGCATCGTGCCTTAAGGCAAATTGCTGGAACTTCCCGTACCAAAAATTATTATTTTTTTAAAAACAATTAACATTTTTGAAAAAAAATTACTTTGAAAGAATAAGATTTTTGAGAAACTATAAATTGGACAAAAAATAACTTTTCTTTGAAAAAAAAATTTTTTTTTAAAAAAACATTTTTTTTTTTTGAAAAAAATTTTTTTTTCTGTATTTTGACATATTGTAGAAGATCTGAAATTTTTTTGAAAGCAATCGTACTGCTTTAACTGCATAGGGACAAAATATAAAGCGCGTAAGCGCCGCGTCGCTGTCTAACGCATAAGCATTGGTACAGAACCCATAGAAATGTTAACAAAATGTATACTTATTGTTAAAATCTCTATAAAATATCTGATTTGATGTGCATATGTCTAATGATCATTTTTGACCGCCAAATGGCTCATTTTTTACTTTTTCCTCCATATCTCCGAAACCGCTAGACCTACCTTCATGAAAATTTATCGATTCTTCACCTTGTCAATACAAGTGAAATGTTTTTGAATTATTCAAATCGGACGCTCCGTTCTCTTAAAAACTGAGTTACCGTTTTCGGCACTTTTTGCCCCGTATCTTCGGAACGGCTAGACCTGCCTTCGCCAAAAACTAATCAGCACGTCTCCTTATCAATACGAATCGAATGTTTTTTGAATTATTCAAATCGGTTGATCCGTGTTCCCGAAATCGTCGACGAAAATTTGTATCCGCACATACATACACACACGCACATACATACATACATACATACATACATACATACATACATACATACACACACACACACACACACATACATCCATTTTTTCTAAGGTATGCCAAAATGTTCAGAAACCTTTGAAACGTAAAGATATATAAAAATTTTCATTTTCGATTTTTTTGCGATTACTATAACTTGCCCTACGGGAAGTTAATAATTGTTGTTTCTACTAACAATTTCCAAGTTTTAATTAATTTTTCTATATAAATTATTATTTAAAATAGTATTTAAAACCAGATTCAGTTTATTTTAAATAAAAACGTGCTAAGTATTATAAAAAACATGAGCAACCTAACAGAAGTATTATAGAAGATGTAGTCATTGATGACCTAAAGATTTTAAGATGCGGTTTGCATAATAATATTTTCCTGAGAATTTTATGTAATTATATTAAATTATTAAAGTAAATATAAGCATACACTTAGTAAGGTTGCATAGATGGTAAAGAGATTCAAGAAGAATTGAATATACATAAACCTGATTTGGTAAATTCATGGAATTTAAAACTTGTATATAATACATGTACAAAGATTTTTAATAGTTTATACTAATTTGATTAATCAAGTTATATCAGCAATGATTGTATATGTATATGTATTTTGAGTAGTTAAATGCTATTGTATTCAAAAATTAAATTAAATGTAGATATCAAATTCTACGCATTAAACTTTCATGAAGTAATACCAACTACTTGCACAAAATACGCTGAAAGCTTTTGAGCTTTTAAGCTCAAATGTCAAGTTTAAGCCGAATATAAGTGCTTGAAAAATGTCAATGAAAATTTTCTATTATTGTATATTGCAATACATTCTATACTATTAAATGAAAATATTTAAACAGTCGTTTTAATAAAATCACATGCACTTGCAAATGTTGCTCGTTCCACGTGCCTTCAAGTGCAAATTATTATGCAATCGGTGCAACTATTCCGCATTCAATGAAAAGCTTGTTTGAAATTTATAAAAGACGCAGTTTAGAGAAAAGATAGATTACCGTTTTAATTGTGATAGATTGATTGCAGTAAAGTCTGATTAATTTAGTGATAGCTAAATAGGAAGATAGAAGGCAAACAACTGGGAAATAACTTAAGAATTTAGAAGCCTGTCCAATGATTTTATGTAAACAGTTTGCACCTCATAATTTTAAAAATTAAAGTAAATTAAGTTATAAAACGCCTACTCATGTTGATCCGAATATATGATTCGCATCAATATTTTATCACATAGCAATCAATTTTTTTCTAATATAGATGTAGAAGATAAATACATTCAAAAATATATTTCTTATTTTCCACGAAAAAATTGTTAGCATATATCGATATCAAACGCAATACAACCGATTCGAAGTTTTAAATTATCAGCTTGGTGTAAATAAACCATATTTTTAGATTCAGCTCAACCTTGCACGAAATGAGATCATTTTTGAAAATATACTACTAAAATAATCATCGACAAATAATGACGAGTCAAGAAGACGACGTTCAATGAGAGAACGGACAGTTTTGAAATATTTGCAAAATCTCATAATACAATATATTATTTATTTGAATAATGAAATGCATTATTAAAACTACGTTTCAAATTATCTAAGTCGATTAAGTAATAAAATCTATTTATGGATATTACAATTTATTTATATTTGATCATCATTATAAATATTATTGTGAGGATAAATATAGTTTAGAGAAAGTTAAGTTGATATATATATATATATATATATATATATATATAAGATTTTTAAAATATTTTACTATCTGCAGAGTCTAAGTACATTTTTCAACCAATTATGTCTAAAACTATGATACCGATAAGAAGAAAATATGTTTTAATTTTTTCCACAAATAACACAATTTTACACACGATTATTTTTAATTTCTGAAGGTGAAAAACGATGATTCATTCGGATATATTCCACCATACCCCACGTACATGATTTTAAGCGTTTTGGTGGGATTTAGTCGAGACAGTGACCGTATTTTTTTAGTATTTACGTAAACATTGAAATAAGAAAAACAACAACAAATAAAATAAATAAAAAGTTCACGAAAACTGAGTCATGTTCGATGCAGCAAAAATTAACAATCGCACAAGCTATACAAAACAACTCTTGGGATAATGTCATAGACAAAAAAGTTAATATGACATCACAAAGCACGTTTATGAATGCAAATAATAATAGTCTAACTTTTAAACGACTAGCTATTATAGCTCAACCTCAATTGATATTTTTCAATTTTTAATTTACATAAAGCTATATTCCGCGCAATAGGAATTTAGTCATTTCATATTATATATAAGATGACTTTAATAAGCATGTGTTCATAACAGATTAATTGCTATCTTGAACAAAGGCTTGAATCCAAAGTTTAGTTTTTGTTACGTAGGATGGCATGTGGTCATTGCCACATTAGATTATGACACATTTAATTGCTACGAGTCGATTATATTCTTGACAAGGACAGTTCTTCAAAGGCAGACAGAGCGTCACATGATATTGTTTATTATGATTTCTTTCAACGGAAACAAAAAATCTTTGACGTATTTTTCTACGTCTATTGGATGCCGTTACATAGTAGCAACTGATTAAAATAATTAACATAGTCCCGGAATAGTTTAAAAATAAATATACAAGATCAAAGTGTCGAATAATCAATCAATCAATAATACAGTGTTTTAATAAAAATAACATAGGAAAAATGACAGGTAATTATTTTTAAAAGTATAAGATCGCTGCTACTTATTGTAGGGTAGGGCGGGGCTAGTTGAGCAAATTTTTACTTAAACGGATGTAGCTCCTCAATGAAAAGTCTCAATAAATTGCTATACAGCTTAATGGATTTGTTGTTTATCGCTTAACAAAAGTGTTAATACTATTTATTGGCAATAAGTAAAATTTAAAAGCTACAGCTGTTTAAATGCAAAAAGTCAAGTATGCTCAATGTAGCCCATAGGTGGAGCAAGTTGAGCACTAAGAAATTATACTGAAATCATAGGTCCAATGTCGATTAGTGATAAAATAAAATTAGTTTTTAATAACCAGTTCTATATTTATAGTCTTTATTGACAGAGAAAACAAAACTTATAGTAATTTGCTTTGATTAATTAACGAAAAGTAGAATCAACAAAACAATATCGTATCTTAGGGATTATTTTATCATTATATTCAGTATTTTTGTTTAAAATCATTATTTCTTTATATTATTTCTCATAGACTTAGCTTAAATCTTAAAAATAATAATGAATTTCTGGAAGTTAATGGTAATTGTCTTAGTGACAGAACAAGTTTAGCAACTATGCTCAACTAACCCCAACTCGGAATTTCAAAATAAAAGTGAGTTTATAAAAAACCGTGAGAGTTATCCCCAGAATCTCTGTGCGTATCAAAAGTACTATAATTATATGAAAGAATAAAATTTACCTGATTGAAAATAAATAACATTTGACTAAACCAGACAAAAACTCGTGATGAATTACTTTTTTACTTTTTGGTCTCAAAATAAACAAAACGTCCGTGAGCCTCACTCATTTGTCCAGCGGCCACTAGCGATCGCGGGATGTTTATTAGTTGAATTAGGTGAATAGTTTTCGAGATATTTCGATTGCTCAACTTGCCCCTATGCTCAACTAGACCAGCCCCGCCCTACCCTATCAGATCGCTGCTTCTTTTTGTAATTATAAATATTGTAAAGAACAAAAACACAATGTTTGAAAAAAAAGTGAAATGATTGAAAAGATTCATACAAATTATTCAATCAGTTTTAATTCAACATTATTTGATTTAGAGAATGTGATAAATGAGTTACTGTAAATAAAGATATTGATTGATCGATTGGTTGATTGATATGTGTTAATATTCAAGAGACAAATTCAAAACATAAACTCACCAATGAGCAGCGCAGGTCTTCTCCCTTCCTCTACTAAACTGGTCAACACAAGCACTAACGGATGAGCCACGGGCAACCTGTCCCATTCTTCTCCGGTCGCTTCATCATACACCACAATATCTCTAGCGACGCGCGATCTTAGCATTTCTTTTCCTTCCACGGTTGTCGCTAAATCTGCCAAAGCAGCTTTGCCCTGCTGTAGTCTTTTTCTATTAAACCTATCCGAACAATTCACATTCACCGCCCCTCTGATATGACTAACGTTGTACGCGATGAAGGACCTGCAATCGACCAGCAAAGGCGGTAACTGATCCTTTTCCGTCACCAGCCTGTCGACCAGCTCGGACGGCTGAAGAACCGCAACCCGCTTCATGACCAGGGCCCGTTGCAGCGTGGCGCTGTCGGCGCAGGGAGACGCGGGCAAGCTGGTCGTCTGAATGAACCGCGTTCGCTTTTGCAACGCGGGCGGTCCAGGTTCGCTGAGCGATCTGTTTAGAGATAGTTTCAGGTTGTCCCGCGGCGGGCGGCCGGTCGGCGAGCCGATCTGTACTGCCATAGACATTGTGTTGTTAGTGGATTTGGAGGTGTCAACGTGTGCTGTTCGGCAATCGCCGATGTTGGCGCCTCGCCGAACGTGCGCTATTCCGAGATCTGAAAAAGACGTGTAGGATGAAGTTTCGAAGCGATCTTTATGATTAAACAAGAGGATAGAGTCATCCTGTAAATATTTTAATTAAAATTTTAACTTGTATATTTGCAGCTTGGATAAGTAATGTAGGTATGATCTTAATTCGAATTCAAAAATAACTTATGCCTGAGACGTTATATATTTCAAGTAAGTTAATCATATATTATAATAAGTATAATATTGTGGCGAGCATAGCTCTTTGGTAGCGTGTTCGATTCACACGACAGGGATCTTCAGATCAAATCCTGTTAATGACTTAGAATTTATGAAAAAAATATGTGTAGTTAATTTGAAATCAAATAAAAAATTGTATTTGTTAAATAGAAAATTAAGAAAAATAGATATATCAGAATTCGAATAGTTGAATTGAATTAGGAATAGGAAGAGAAATATTGGAATTTGAAAGAAGAATGAAGTAAAAAATGGAAAAAATGGAATGAAGCTGAAAGTAAAATAGAATTAGAAATTTGAAAAAAGAGCAAGAATTGAAGAAAATAAGAAGAAGAAAAATTAAGAAGAATATAGAATAGGATTACATAAATAGATTGAAAATGATAAAAAAATTAGAATGTAAATAAATAAAAATGTTGTATGTGGCTAAATGCTCAGAGTAAGCGAGGCCAAATAAAAAATTAAAAAAAAAGTATAAAATTAAAAAAGTAAGACTGTCGGTAAATGATTGAGGATAAAGATCTTTATAGATATTAAATAATAATATTATTTAAATTAAATTTTCCAAAAGAAAATGACAAATCTCCAAGTATAAACTATATCTTTTACATCAAAACAAAATATGAAATTGTTTTATAAAAATATTTCACTAGATTACAATTCCTTATCATTCATAAATAAGCCAAGAGAAGATTACAAACCAAATACTCTGTGATTCATGATACATATCTAAAAATACATTAGCAATTAGCGTCTTATTAACGTTCAAAGTAAACTAATGAGTAAAAACCGTAAAGCATTGAAGTACTAGCTTTGATGTTCGAAATATGATATGAATACAAAGAAAGAAAAATGAAAATCCAATTGAGTTTGAAAATACTTAAAAAAAAAATATAAGTTACTTCTGGATTAAATTGAATGTAACTATATAAATGTTGCCCTAATTTGCGAAGTAAGTACAAAACGGTATACCACCACATTTAAATTCAAAGTATTGTTTATCAAAAACGTCATTGTTTAACTGCAGCGAACAAAACAGCTTTTGAGTTATAATCGGGCTTAAAATCTAGCATAAAACATTACTGATATTGAGTGACCTACAAACAACCCGTTGTGCCACTGTTTTAAGCACGTCCTTATCGCTAATTTTTGTGTTACACTTACAATAGAATCGTTTGAACAATCTATGAATAAATATATGGAACCTGTCGTTGACGTTATCAGGCGCTATGCGTAATTGCGTAATCCCCACTTTGAGAGTTATCGGGGCAACGTTTTGCAAGTGGCGCCTAAGAGGATAATTGAAAGTTGGAAGGCTATTTTGATTGATTTTAAAAATTTATTGATTGATTTTATTTAATTGATATAACAATATATACGAATATATACAATACTAGCAAACCCGACGAACTCCGTTTCGACACCAGATGGATTCGTGAGAAAGATGAAGAAATTTTTTGTTTGTTTTATATTTGTAAAGGAAAAATTTGATCAGGAAGGAAAATCCGACTTATTTTTATATATATAGAAGATAATCTATTTGCAATTATTTAAAACAATTATTGATTATTTTTATTACTCGAATTTTTAATTACGGTGCGTAAAGTTCCAGCAATTTCCAGTTCCACTAATTTTCTTAGCTATAAACCTTGCGGAGCCCGAGACCTTTCCAACAAATGCAAAATTGTCGAAATCGGTTCGTGCGTTCTGGAGTTAATTCGTTAGGAAGGAAAACCCGACTTATTTTTATATATATATATAGAAGATAACGAATTGATTTAATGAGAAGAACTCATATTTTTTTAAAGGTTTTGTCTTCGAGATTGTTTTAATCAACATCACTATTAGGTTAGCAACTAAGTAAGTGCGGCTTCTTGTTATTGGATAGTAGGTTATTCAGTTGCCAATATGTAGACAGAAGTTTTTTGATCGATCGCGTAGTTTTCGTTTGGCGTCCGTTGCAAAATGGAAAATCAAATAGAATTTTTTTGTCAGATTCTCTATTTTATTTCTGCGAAAGTTATTTTCTAACTAAAATCCGCACTGACTTAGTTACCAACCTAATACTAGAAGATCTTTTTCCTCGTCATATCAATTTCGCACACCCAATTATCTGACCAAGTTCCCATACTGCGCTCATTGTCATAATTTTCGCACGATTTCCCTAAAATTGTCTATTTTTTGGTTCAACTCTGTTCCAGTATGGGAACGATTCTTTTTGGTGTTTTATGAATTAATGGCCTTTAGCAATTGTTGTGGAATGACTCATGTAATGATAACAACAAGGTGATAATGCGATTGTCATGAGACTTCACGACAGGTGTTACGGGACACGAAAACCTCATCGGAGCGTTACACAATAATGTGTTATAAAAAAAAAAACAGATACGATACTAAAGGTAATTATCGCGATATAGAGCTACGTCATTTGGTTAGCAAAAAGAGAGCTTTTTTATTTTCTATAAGCGAATAATCGAGTTTTTAATATTTATGGATATAAAGTATTAACCATCATGTGAAATTTGATTATTATTCGCTTCACGATGATATTTTACTGATGAGAATAAGAAATGTCGATTCAATTTCAATCATTTTTTAAAGCAATTATAAAAATATTTTAACAAAACTGCAAGGTTAGAACCAAATGCAAAGCGTTGGAATACCTTACATTGATCATCACATTTTTTCAATAAAAAAGTCTTGTCAAAGTTATTATTTAAGCTTATTTTATAATGGTCATGATCCTAATGATCTATATATTTATTTAATGATATCACAAGGTGGATGCTGTATGATAAATAAAAGACTTCTTGAGCAAATATTGTTTCTTCTTGAACAAAGAACAGCTGTTCATGAAGATCGAATTGTGTTCAGGGATTTCAGATCTGAATGTTCTTTTCCCAAAATATTTAACATTATCAGATAATAAATTGATCATATAAAAATAATATTTTAAATCTATTGTAAAAACCAATGAAAGCTCCGTGCCAATAGTAGCATACAATTTGTGCAGAAGAAAAATGGTTACTCAAGAAGCTGAACCAATCCAAAAAATACTATAAGATAATTAATGATAATATAATTCTGTACCTGTATTATGAAGTTTTAGATAAAGTGATGTTTATCAATCGCGTTGTCTACAAAATATATATTTAAAATAACAGTAAGATAATTTTCTAGATAATAAACTGAAAAATGTACTAAGCCCCTGATTGATGATCAATATATTTATTTACACGTGTGCAAAATTGTGATGTATCATTTTCACAAGGTTTCTTCATTCAAGTTTTCCACTGTTAAATAACGAGTAGTTATCATATTACTTTGATGTCTAAATTAATAAATTAATAAAATTTAACAAAAATGAAAATCATTTCCAGTTAGAATTGCAGTTGTATTCTTTCTTTTTACTTATTTACCCACAATCTTTTTAGTTTTTTCTGTGTCCATTTAGAAAGAAAAATATCATTAAATTCAATGATACTCAAGTCTCTGACGTAGTGCGAAAAATAAAGGATTTCCATTTAATTTTTTTGCGAACTTCGGCAGAAGATGAAAGATTCATGCATAATTAAATTTGTTGTTACTAAACTCATTTAATATCTTAACGCAAACATATTATTGCATGTCCAAGATCTATGCTTTTGATCATAAAAAGTAGTATGTACCATTTTTCATCAATGACTTTGCACAAAAATTTGCGAATGTCATGACATGTGAGCTAAGTATACTTGTCTATAAAAAACTTGGCAATATATATTATGTGCTATTTTTGATGTGATAAATATAACGCAGAATACGCACATTATAAATGTGAGGTCATTAGGAATCTTTGGTGGAAGGAAGACACTTATACAACAACAACAAAAACACGAGAAGTGCCTTCTAATTCAATATTTTGAGAACAAACACATTTTTAATGACTTGAATGAGTAACAATTTTTCAAATCCAAAAAATTGTTTTTTAAGAAACTTGTACGATAAGCAAATTAAATAAGTACAATGAATAATTACTTATTTTACTGGAACAACTAAATGGTCATATAAATGTAGTGTAGGAAACGTACCAAATAAATATTTTTGAATGCTAATTATTTTTTATTTTCGACGAACTGATTGCAATTATTTCTAAGAATATTCTACGCCAAACAAAAGAACCTCAAGGATATATTTTTATATTTATACTTCAGAATATTATATATATATATATATATATATATATATATATATATATATATTCTGGATCTATAATTCAGCTGAACTAGTTCAGATGATTCATTCCATTTCGCAGTTGCAATAATATTTACAACGAAATCATACAAGTAATTTGCGTCACTGCAAACAAACTTTTGTAAACAAAAGCGAATAAAAAGATGAAACAAACAAGTCTTAATATAATAGACAATAAAAATGAGCTATTGATAGAAATATGATTTTGCAATTATTTATATTAATTGTTACAACATGAAATCGCTGTGGTGGTGAAAGATTTGCAAACAATACTAACAATGCTTTATGAAAATCTAAACGACCTTAAAATTCACTAAATTTATAGAAAATATTTAATATTAAGTTGCAGCAAGTACTAAGATGAAAAGAGAAAGTTCAAAACCAAATGTCCTTTTTTTATTAATTTATTGTATTGGCATCTGGATAGTCCATATTTTAGATTCATGTAAATAGAGTCGCACGAAACCTCTTTTTAGCAAGAATATCATTTACTTGCAGAGTCCTTAAGATTTAGATTGTACATTTTACAAGCATAAAATGTTGAAAATGTAATCAGAACAAT